CCCAAAAACCCCAAAACCCCAAAACCCCAAAACCCCAAAACCCCAAAACCCCTGGCAACTTGGAGTGTATTGGGAAATTATTAAATATATTTATTATTATTAAATATGTCTCACAGAAAGTTTGAGCATCCAAGATGCGGATCTCTCGGATTCTTGCCAAAGAAGAGAACTAAGAAGCACAGAGGAAAGATTAGATCATTCCCAAAGGACGATCCAAGCAAGCCAGTACACTTGACTGCCTTCATGGGCTACAAGGCTGGAATGACCCACGTTGTAAGATACAGGGAAAGAAGACAGCACAGAAAGATCATTAAGAAGGACGTCGTTGAGCCAGTCACCATCATCGAAACCCCACCAATGAGAATCGTCGGTGTTGTCGGATACATCGAGACTCCAAGAGGATTGAGAGCACTCACCTCCGTCTGGGCTCAAAACTTGACAAGAGAATGTAAGAGAGTATTCTACAAGAACTGGATGAGAGCTAAGAAGAAGGCCTTCTCCAAGTACGCTGAAAGATGGAGATCTGACAATCCAAAGACCTCAATCCAGAGAGATTTGGATAGAATTACCAAGTACTGCTCAGTCGTCAGAGTCCTTGCTCACACCCAAGTCCACAAGTTGAACTTGCACAGAAAGAAGGCACATCTTCTCGAAATCCAAGTAAACGGAGGATCTATTGCCGATAAGGTTAACTTCGCCAAGGAGAACTTCGAACAAGAGATCACCGTTGACCAGATCTTCAACCAAGACGAAAACGTCGATGTTGTCGGTGTTACCAGAGGTCACGGAAGAGAAGGTGTCATCAAGAGATGGGGAGTAACCAGACTTCCAAGAAAGACTCACAGAGGTCTCAGAAAGGTAGCCTGTATCGGAGCCTGGCATCCATCCTCTGTTCGTTGGACTGTCGCTAGAACTGGTCAGAGAGGATACTTCCATAGAACTGAGATTAACAAGAAGATTTACAGAGTAGGAGCTGGAGCTATTGACGGAGCTAACAACAACGCTACTACTGAGAACGATATGGAAATCAAGAACATTACCCCAGTCGGTGGATTCCCACACTACGGAGAAGTCAACCACGCCTTCTTGATGATTAAGGGATCAATCATGGGACCAAAGAAGAGACCAATCACTATCAGAAAGTCATTGATGCACCACACCAACACCAGCCACACTGAGACTATTGAGCTCAAGTTCATCGATACTGCTTCCAAGATCGGTCATGGAAGATTCCAGAGCAAGACTGAGAAGCACAAGATCATGGGCCCAATGAAGAGAACCGCTGAGGTCATCGAAGAAGAGCCAGCCGAGTAATGAGCTTCCTTTTCTTAAAAACATTCTATTGAATTTGCCTTCCAGGGGTTTTGGGGTTTTGGGGTTTTGGGGTTTTGGGGTTTTGGGG